CAGGTTCTCATTCGCGGTGCTGTTGAAGACATGAGGATTCTGCTGGGTGGTCCCTGGAGTAGTCAGCAGTGGGACCGCCAGGAAGCAGGACATCATCTGTAATTTTTAAAGAACGTAAGAGCTTCTCCAGGGTCAGGCGCCCTTGGAAATGGTTAGGTATCATTGTATTGTTCCTCTTATTTTGGGAAACGTCTTGACCAACATTTTTGCTCCCTTTCCTTGTTGGTCAACCTGTTCTTGGTCATCCTCCTGCCTTGTGAGAACAGGCAGGAATTTTAGCTTTCTGGCCAGAAGCCAGATGGGCACTTCCTCCCCTATGGGGAAGACACATCCAAATCCTCTTCCCATTGTAATTAACGGGTCTGGGCCCCTCCATTGGGATGTTAGGGGTCTTTCTATGTGACCTTAACTAGGGGTTTGGGGCTTAGGAGGCCCCAGTGTTTTTGGAACTTAGATTCAGTTGCTCCTTTAGAAAAATTCAAAATATTAATAGTAAATAAACCCATTCCTAGTTGTAAATGGGGTTAATTCCCCCTCTTTTTGTTTTAAAAGTTGTTCTTTAAGACATTGATGATTTCTTTCTACAATTGCTTGTCCCTGAGGGTTGTAAGGGATTCATGTAGTATGTTTGTTATGCCATCTATCGAAAAATTCTGCCATGGAATTACTGACAAAGCAAAGGCCATAATCAGTCTTAACCTGTGTGGGTAATCCTGGGGTTGTGAAACGCTGAAAGAAGTGTGCTTGAGCATGCTTGGTGTTTTCCCCCATATGCACAGTGGCCCAACAGGCCCCGAATACGTGTCTATGGAGACAAAAATACACTGTTTGCCAAAATGAGTAACATCAGTTTGCCAGAGGGCATTGGACCGTAGGCCTCTGGGTTAACTCCTGGTGGCTGTAGAGGGAGAACTCTCAGATATGGTTGACGTGATGTGCAGGTGTGAACTATCCTTTTTAGTTTTTTTTTTTTAGGAATTATTGGGAATCTATTATGTAGTCCCTCCAACTGACATGGGTCATATCATGCAATTGAGTGGCTTCCTGTAGGGTTAGTGCCTCTGGGGCTGTCGCCAGTCTGTCTGCCCATTCATTGCCTTTAGTCAGGACCCTGGGAGGCCGGAGTTCCCCCGAAGGCATTGAAGGTAAATTGGTGCTTCTAAAAGGGCCTTTACAGCCACCATGAGGGAGGATATAGGGTTATTATCTAGCTAGATGTGTGCTTGTGGGATATGGGGAAGTAAGTTAACCACACAGAGACTCTGTGAAAAAAGATTGCAGGGCTAGGAGATGTCCTGTAATGACAGCATCACAGCCAGCAGGGTTGAAATCTTTGGCTTGGTGTTGCTTGATATCTCCTAAGGCAAGGTAGGCAGAGCCGGCTCCCACCCCACCACTCCCACCACCATCCCCTCCCTCCACCCATCAGTGAAGACGCAAATAGCCTTAAAGTGGGCTCAGATGGAAACAAGGAGGGCATCTTGAGGGGGAGTCTCTGTAAAAGAGGAGCCCATTTGAACGGCCCATAGTAGCAATCAATACTCCCCATTAACCCTTGTAAGGTGAGAGGAAGGCGGGAGTTAGCCTGAGCAAACCATTCAACATCTGCCACCTGGAAGAGGAAGACAATGGTATGGAGGGTCCAGCCCACAGTGTCACTGGGCCTGCGTCCTGTCCTTTATGATGGTGTCAGTGAGCTGATCTGCCTGAGAGTAGACCTGGGGTGTTCCTTCCAAAGACATATGGATCCATTCCAATGGCTCCCCTTCCGGGGTTAGAACCACTGTAATCAGGGAGGCTGCAGCAAACAGCCAGAGGGACAAGGGCCTAGTTCTTTAACTGGTTCCTGTGCCCTTTGATTAAGAACACTGACTGCTCTTCCAGAAGACTCTGGTTCAATTTCTAGCACCCATATGGTGGCTAACAAGTGTCAGTAACTTTAGTTCTAGGGAAATCTGACTCTCTCCTCTGGCCTCTGAGGGTACTACGTGAGCATGATATACGGACCAACATAATGTAGAGACCAACACATGCAAAAAACAGTGTATATAAAAATTGTTTTAAAGAATATAATAACAGTGTTCTACAAAGGAGGCTCATTGACTCTAGAGGTTATATTTTGAAATGACTCTTCAGAATTTTACCCTGATGTTGTCAACTTCTCAGTTAAACATTGCCAAAATTTATTTTTGATTTTATATTTCCCAAGAGCAGCTGACATCATTTTCAATTATGTCAATTATAAGTGAAATTGCAAAAGTATAAATTTTGATAAACTAATAAATTATTTTACAGAAAATATGAGTCAGAAAAATTTTATGACCAGGCAAAATGTCACTGCACCATTATTTGTTATATAAAATTACTGCACAGCATTTTCTTGAAATTTATGTTATCTGTATTTATTTTGTTTTCATGTATCATCATTGAATTTACTGTATTTCATAAGCAGTAAAACATTTTAGGGGTAAGCTTTAAATTTTGGCTAATTTTCATGGTAAAATTTTCTTGTTTTCTACCTCCCATCTCCTTTTTGCCCTGGGTTGGGCAGCTCCTCTCAGAAGCCTCCTGGCATGGTCTGGAACCAGGGAGGAGCTGCAGTGTCGCGCCACTGGAACTTCCACTTGGAAGTTACTGTTCTGACACATTGAATTAGTTACTGTTGCTTCATTGGTTTAGTGTTAGCATTTCACGTCTGAAAACCCAAGTACATTATTCGCTGTTGTAAAATGAGAAGAGTAGCTGGGAGTGTTTGGTACACATTCTATTATGTGTATTACTTGCTGGGTGTTGAAGATACCTAGATAAATGCAGTTTCCTGTTTAAGGATAATTAGGGAGACTGTAGTTGGTTTTTGTTTTGTTTTTTTTTGTTTTGTTTTTTTGTTTTTTTTTGCTCTTTGGAGGCCCACTACCCAACTCCCAAATAAATACACAGAGACTTATTCTTACTTATGAATGCCTGGCCTGCATTTGGCTTGTTCCTAATCTGATTTTCTACCTAAAATCATCTCATTTCTACTTAACTACACTTTGCCTCCGAGCTTTTTACCTTTCTTTATGCTGTATACCTTTCTTTCCGTCTTGCTCTGTGGCTGGCTGTGTAGCTGGCCCCTGGTTTCCACCTTTTCTTCTCCTCTTCTTACTCCTCACTCTCTTCAGTGTCTGTTGTTATGTCCCCCTTTTCATCTGATTTTGTTAATTTGCATGCTCTCTCTCTGCCATTTGGTTTGAATAAAGGTTTGTCTGTCTTGTTGATTTTCAACTCTTTGTTTCATTGAGTCTTTGTATGGTTTTCTTTGTTTCTACTTTATTGATTTCGGCTCTCAATTTGATTATTTCCTGGCATATACTCTTCCTGGGTGGAGTAATGCAATTGAGCATTGCTCAATTTCCACAAGTTTGTAGAGTTTCTGCAATTTGTGCTGTTGTTGAATTCTAATTTTAAACCATGGTGATCTGATAAGTTACAGGGGGTTATTCCAAATCTTATGTTATCTGTTGAGGTTTGCTTTGTTGCTGAGTACTTCTCACTCTCTCGAGCCTAGATTTCTCCTCCTATTTATTCTCTCTGCCTGACAGCCCCACCTGTCCCTCTCCTGCCTAGCTATTGGTCTTTCAGCTCTTTATTAGACCAATCAGGTGTTTTAGACAGGCAAAGTAACACAGCTTTACAGAGTTAAACAAATGTGACATAAGAGAATGCAACACATCTTTGCATCATTAAACAAATATTCCACAGCATAAATAAATGTAACACACTTTAAGCTAATATTACACAACAAGAGAAAATATGAAAAATAATGAATTATAATACAGTATTTTTAAGTGTGGCTACAGAAGCATGGACAAGCTACATGCTAAAGTAGTATCAGAAAGCAAAATGTGATGAACTTAGTAGGTAGCGAGAGGCCCTGCCTGAACTTAGTAGGTAGCTAGAGGCCCTGCCTGAATTTAGTAGGTAGCTAGAGGTCCTGCCTGAATTTAGTAGGTAGCTAGAGGCCCTGCCTGAACTTAGTAGGTAGCTAGAGGCCCTGCCTGAACTTAGTAGGTAGCTAGAGGCCCTGCCTGAACTTAGTAGGTAGCTAGAGGCCCTGCCTGAATTTAGTAGGTAGCTAGAGGCCCTGCCCACAGGCATATGTGGGCACATGTGGTCCATGTTCTCATTGCAATCTTTTTCTCCTTGGAATTAACTAGGGGAAAGGCTCTGCTGTTTGAGATTAGACATGTTCCAATCCTGTTGAGAATAACTGTGCCTGTTCCTCTGCTTGGCTTCCTAAGAGCCTGTTTCTCTCTCCCCTCACTATTCCCATACCCAGATCTCAAGATGGCTGTTGGTTTATATTTTCCAAAGTCACTGCTAATAATTCTAGGACGTATGTTTATGCATAGCTTGCATGTATGTGGATTCACATGTGGGGGGCAATGCTCATGTGGAAGCTGTGGGCTGATATCCAGAATCTTCTTTGATGGATTCTTCACCTTATGCTCTGGGGCAGGGTCTCTCAATCAAATCCAGAGATCACTGATTGGCTAGTCTCTCATAGCCATCTTGCTGGGGGATATCCAGTCTCTACCTCCTTTGTCTGGAGTTACAGACATCTGGCCATGCCCACCCTATACGGTTGTGCTTTTTAGAGAGCAGAACTTACCCTCCTGCTTGGAGCAAGGGATTTAGCCATCTCCTCAGCCCCTAGTTTTTAACTGTACATTTTAATTGAAAAGTTATACTGGTCCATTTAATAAATAATACTTCAGTGCCTACTGTACTCCGAAACTTAGTTCCTCTCAGGGAACGTGTCCCCTAGTTATATATTTTCTTTCTCAATGCATAAATAGCCTGAATGTATAGTAGATAGCATATGGGGCTGAGGGTATATGGAGGTAGTGGAGAATTTGCAAAGCATGCTCAAGGCCTGGGCTTTGTTCCAGAGAGAGAGAGAGGCAGACAGACAGACAGCCTGACTGGTTTCAGTTGACTATGAACTGATTTTATTTTAGAACTGTGAAAAATGGAAGACAATAGCACTGACACAGAAGAAGAGAATGAAGATGAGGAGGAGGAAGCAGCAGCCACAGAAACAGAAAAGGAGGAGACTAGAGAGGTCAAGGAGGACCACCCCTCTGCCATAGTGCCCACGATTCACATCCGAGAGGAGCGCCTTGTGGATTTAGCTGAAACGCCAGCTTTCCGCTGTCTGAATGAGGTGTGTTTCTTTGTATATTATTACTAGAGTAAAACCTAATCTTCACCCACCTAAAAATTCAAAGTCTGTGTCATTGTCAAAACTCTGTGTTACACAGCTGCTCTAGGCCTTAATCATACATAGAGCTGAAAGTCCTAAAGTGGGTCCTGCTTTTCCTTCTGGGATAACACGGTATGAGTCTCCTTTAAAGAATAAGTTTTATATACATGCTGTCCATTAAGTGCATTTCAGATGTTAGAGCATGACATATAAGTTTTTCTTCAATTATTGTATATTCTATACTCATTAGTTCATAGAATGAAGATGAGAAATCTAGCCACAACTCTCATCCCCAGGGACCCAGGGTGCAACTGGCTCTTTCTTGGCCTCCCTGTTCGGCCTTCCCTTCTAGCCCATCTCTAGCCCTTTGTAACTTTGCTGACCCAGAGAACCTGCTCTGCTAGGGATCCACAGCTGCCACACTTGACTGAGATTCAAGGACCCCACAGCTACCACACTTGACCAGGGACCAGAGTGAACAGAACAACCAAAGGATGGAACGCTTGCCCGACAAAGATGAAACTGGATACCTATACCAAGAAACACTTCAAAAGCCATGACTCCAGATGCCTGGATCCCAGTGTAAAAATCCAAATATGGACAACCACGAGAGTGTGCTTCAATAGAGTTGCATCCTGAGGAAAGCGCAAGAGTAGCACTGAAAAATAGCAATTATGACTATGTTTAAAGACATTAACGAGGCATGAATACATGCCTTAATAAAATCCATGAAAATACAGTTGAATGATATACGGAAAACAATTCAAGGTTTGAAAGTAGAATTTAACAAAGAAATAGAGTCACCAAAGAAACCTGAACTGAAACAAAACTGGAAATGAAAAACTCAAATAAAAACCTTTGAGGTAAGTCCCACCAACAGATTAGAAGACGTGGATGAGCAAATTTCAGGTCTTAAATAAAATGGCTAGATCAGTCAAAGAAAACATTATATATATAAATTTATATATATATATATATATATATATATATATATATATAAATTCAAGAATGGAACACTATAAAAAAACCAAACCTATGAATAGTAACTATGGAAGAAGGAGAAGAATCCCAGGTCAAAGTCATGAAAAGTATTTTGAACAAAATCTCAGAAGAAAATTTCTCCAGTCTAAAGAAAGTTTCCTATCAAGAGACAAACATAATACCAGAGACAGGCCCAGGGAAGAAACTACCCATGTCACATAATAAAAACATTAAATGTACAGAGCAAACAAAGGATTTTAAAATCTACAAAGAAAAAAGACCAAGTCATATATAAAGGTAAGCCAGAAAGGCCTGGACAGATGTTCTATGAGCTCTAAGGACCACAGGAATAGGTCAACCTACTGTACCCACTTAAACTATCAACCAGATCAATAGAGAAAGAAAAGACAACATAAATTCAGCTCTACAGAAAAGAAGGTTTACTTCATACAAGGGGACACTGGAAATAAGTAATTCCAGAACAGTAGCTATAAGTGGGGAGAAAAACCCACACAAACCACAAAATGACATTAATTAATAAGCGCTGTTCACTTTTTAACTCAATGGCCTCAATTCCCCAATAAAAATCCATAATTGTATTAGAAAACACTACCCACCTTTCTGCTGTATCCAAGAAACAACCACCCACCACCCACAGACTTCACCTTAGAGTAAAAGAATGGAAAAAGGTATTCCAAGCAAATGGAAGCAAGAATCAGGCAAATGTGCTTATTTTAATATTTGAAAAAATAGATTTCAACCCCAAACTATTCAAAAGAGATAGGGAAGAAAACCACCTCTTCATTAAAGGAAAAACTCATAAAGAGGACTTAAATTCAAAACATCTATGCACCAAGCATGAGGGCACTGAGTTCATAAAAGAAACACTCCTACAGCTAAAATCACATATAGTGATTTTTATGTGACCCTCACACAGTGATAGTGGGCAACTTCAATAATCAACTCACACCAACAGACAGGTCATCCAGATAAAAACTGAATAGAGAAACATTGGAGTTAAATGATGTCAGAAATCAAATGAACCTATAACCTCTAAGGAAATAGAAACAGTCATCAAAAGGCATCCAATGAAAGGAAGAAAGAATGAAAGGAAGGAAGGAAGGAAGGAAGGAAGGAAGGAAGGAAGGAAAAGAAAAGAAAGAAAGGTCCGGGACATAATCATTTCGGTGCAGAATTCTACCAGAATTTCAAAGAAGAGTTAATACCAATACCCCTCAAATTTTCCCACACAATAGAAACAGAAGGAACATTGCCAAACTCTTTTTATGAGGCTACAGTTACCCTGATACCCAAACCACACTAAAATACAACTAAGAAAGAGAATTACAGACCAATTTCCTTCATGAATATAGATGCAAAAATACTCAGTACTCCCAAATCAAATCCAAGAACACATCAGAGAAATCATCCACCATGATCAGGTAGGATTCATCCCAGAGATGCAGGGATGGTTCAACATATGAAAAGCTGTGAATATAATCCACCATATAAAAAACTGATAGAAAAAAACACATGATAATATCATTAGATGTGGAAAAATTCTTTGACAAATGGAACATGCTTTCATGATAAAAATCATGGAGAGATCAGTGATACAAGGAACATTCTTAAACATAATAAAGGTAATATACGGCAAGTCAACAGCCAACATGAAAATAAATGGAGAAAAACTCAAAATCATTCCACTAAAATCAGGAACAAGACAAGGCTGTCCACTCTCTCCATATGTACTCAATATGGTACTAAGTTCTAGCTAGAGCAATAACACAACAGAAGGAGATCAAGGGATAAAAATTGGAAAGGAAGAGGTCAAACATTTGCTATTTATAGATGATGTGATAGCACACATAAGTGACCCCAAAAATTCTGTCAGGGAGCTCCTGCAGCTGATAAATAGCTTCAATAATGTGGCAGGATGCAAGAGTAACTAAAAAAATTGGTAGCTCTGCTATATACAGATGATAAATAGGCTGAGAAAAACACCAGAGAAAGCTGGGCGGTGGTGGTGCACGCCTTTAATCCCAGCACTCGGGAGGTGGAGGCAGGTGGATCTCTGTGAGTTTGAGGCCAGGCTGGACCGATAGCCTCCAAAACAATACAGAGAAACCGTGTCTCGTAAAAACCAACCCCCCCAAAAAAACAAAACACCAGAGAAACATCACCCTTTATAATAGCCACAAATAACACAAAATATCTTGGAGTAACTCTAACTAAAGAAGTAAAAGACCTGTATGACAAGAACTTTGAAGAATGAAATTGAGAAGACTATCAGAAAATGGAAAGATCTCCCATGCTCATGGACAGGTAGGATTAATATAGTAAAAACCACAATCTTACTAAAAGCAATCTACAGACTCAATGCATTACCCATCAAAATCCCAGCACAATTCTTCACAGACCTCAAGAGAATGATACCAAATTTCATGTGGAAAAACAAAAAAACCCAAGATAGCCAAAAAATCCAGTGCAATAAAGGAACATCTGGAGGCATCACCATCCCTGACTTCAAGCTCTATTATAGAGCTATAGTAATAAAAAAAAAACACAGCTTGGTATTGGCATAAAAACAAACAGATAGACCATTGGAATCAAATTGGAGACCTGATATTAACGTCTGATTTTTGAAAAAGTTAAAATATAAAATGGAAAAAAGAAAGCATCTTCAAAAATGGTGCTGGAATATGACTGTCAACATGTAGAAGAATGCAAAAAGATCCATATCTATCCCCATGCACAAAACTCAAATCCAAATGGATCAAAGACCTCAATACAAAACCAACCACACTGAACATCAAAGAAGAGAAAGAGGGAAATGCATTTGAACACATTGGTACAGGAGCCCACTTCCAAATTGTAATACCAATAGCACAGGCACTGAGAACACCAATTAATAAATGGGACCTCCTGGAACTGAGAAGCGTCTATAAAGCAAAGACACAGTCAACAAAACAAAGCAGTAGCCTATAAAATGGGAAAAGATACTCACCAACCCTTCAACTGACAGAAGGCTGATCTTCAAAATATACAAACAACTCAAGAAACTAGACACCAAAGTACCAAATAATCCAGTTTAAAAGTAGGATACAGATCTAAATAGAATTCTCAACAGAACAATCTCAGATTGTGGAAAGACACTTAAGGAAATGCTCAACAACCTTAGTCATCAGGGAAATGCAAATCAAAACAACTCTGAGATCATCTTACACTGATCAGAATGGCTAAGATAAAAAACACTGATGACAATTTATGCTGGAGAGGATGTGGAGTAAGAGGAACACTCTTACATTGCTGATGGGAGTGCAAACGTGTATAGTAACTATGGAAATCATTGCGGCGATTTCTCAGAAAACTAGGAATCCAATCTACGTCAAGAACTAGCAATACCGCTTTGGGGCAGATACTCAAAGAAAACACACTCACACCACAAGGACATTTGCTCAGCTATGTTCATAACAGTATTATTTATAATAGCCAGAACTTGAAAATAACCTAGATGCCCCTCAACTAAAGAATGGATAAAGAAAATGTGGTACATTTACACAATGGAGTATTACTCATTGGTAAGAGGCAATGACATCTCTAAATTTGCAAACAAATGAATAGAACTAAAAAAAAAACCATACTGCGTGAGGTAACCCAGATCCACAAAGACAAATATAGTATGTACTCACTCATAAGTAAATACCAGACATAATGCAAAGTATAACCAACATACAATCCACAACCCTAGAGAAGCTATATCCCTCTTCCAGAAACAGATGGAAGCTGATTTGGAGATTTATAACTAGCCATTGGGCAGCCCTCCTGGAGTACAATTGAACTGAGGGAGGAGTGATAATATGAACAAAGGAGTCAAGACCATGATGGGGAAACCCACAGACTCAGCTGACCAGAACTAACATTGTCACCTGGGGAGGTGGCATAGGACTGAAGTAGGATCCCTGAATACAAGTGGCAGT